TGACGTATTCATAACGGTTGTTTATAAATAAGTTTAGATAAAAGGTTCCATGTTTTTGCAAAATTATATTTTTTTTTAAAAAAAAAAAACAAATATAATTTATAACAATAAATTTTGCTACTATATTTCATAAATTCAAAAATACAAGACAATGAAGTTTTTTAGCAAACTCCTAGACCCTATACCTCAATATGTAACATGCTGCTTACCAGCTTTAGCGATAATGGGGGAATCCCCCGCAGAGTCGTTTCGAAAAAAATTATTGCGAATACTCATATGTCTTGGATGCCCGTTTACGGGGTTATTTTACTCTTTGATTATTGGGGGTACACCAGAGAATCGTTGCTTATATTGGCTTTCATCAGACAAAATTAAACTTGTTTCGAAAGAAAATACCGAACCTGACGAACCTGACGAATCTGGTAATCATAAAGAATTTCCTGAGCCATATAGGCCTTTTGTATTTCATGCTTGCGAAATCGATAAAGATTCCGAACCATATATAGAACAACTCGCAAAACAATGCACAGCAAAGGCATCTGTTTTGGAAAGACTTTCAGCGATTGGACCTATTTACTTCATTATAATTGGTATGTTGGCATTAATTTCTCAAGCTCAAGGAACAATAAATTGCAAGGACTGGCCACACATTCCATTTTTGTTGTCCTGGATACTCCCAGCAACTTTTATAAGAGTGTATTACGGAATCATATTCATTAAGGATCCTGATATGGTTCAAGAAAAACCAATTTTAATTTCTAAAAATAAAGGGCTTAGAAGAAATAATAGTTGTGCCGTTTTTGCAATTGCTTTTTTCTCAATATTTTATCCTTGGATAACATTATTTCTAGTCTACCTTTCACCCCCGATCGGGTACCGTTGTCGGAGTAAATTCATCACAATTTTCTGCACTATATGGTCATTTAATAACATTCTAGCAATTATATCCCACTACAAAGGTGAAAAGGACTTTCGATACGGACGTCTTCAAAAGTGGTTTGCTTTTTGCGGATTTGTAGTCGGAATTCTTATATTATTTTTAGGTTTGCTCTCTAAAAATAATGATTGGTGGGTTATTTTGTTTGGCGAGAGTTGTAGCCTTTCAAGTATAGGATGTGTTTAATAGCGTTTTATCTTGGATTTCTTTCTTATTTTATTTTTTATATACTAGAAAAAATACTGTGAAACTTTTCATAGCAAATATTGAGTTAAATCAAATTTTACAATAAATATTTATTTTAAAATCTTTCATAATTTATCCTCACTAAATAATCTAATATGTTTACACTACATAATCAGGGTAGAATCTGTTACTATAAATTAAATCAGAAATAATATACTCAATTTATTGATACTTCGAGTTAAACGATCTTTTCGCAATGATTTAGATTTTTAAAAAATTGACGATTATCTCGTATTATTGAATGTGTTTAGTGATTTGATATGATGTAAAGTCCAACATGACATTAACAATTTATACATGCATTGATTCAAGTCTATATTTAAATACTTTAAATGTTATAACATTTGTGCTGACTAATTCGGGTTTTATTTTACATTAAAATTTACACATTATTACGGGGCGACCGGGATCAGGTTAGCGTCGGAATTAATCTTCCTACTATCAGGACTTGTTTATTTGTCCGATGTTTTTTTCTTCTCTTCGCTAACTTTCCTCTTAAGTAGTGTCGGAGGATAAAATAGTGACTTATCCAGTCACGTGATTAATATTTGTGATGTTGCCGCGAAGGACCCGTTCCTATTATGGTACTTGAGGTAGTATGATAAAAAGTATGTAAGCAAAAAGGACGGAAAGTGGATAAAATAGTAATAGGAAAGCGTGTTAGAAAGTTATGTAATTGTGAAAAAACCTTTACAAAAACAAATCACTATTACCTCTTTCACTTAACCTTATATACTTCAGAATTATACTGATTTTAATATACCTTAGGAACTTTATTATACCATATTGATCCTTGTAAACGAAGTCTTTTTCTGCTACTAGTTCTTAATATTTATCTTTTTCCTAAAATAGAAATGATATATGACAGCATATATTATTTATATAGATTTTTAATAGTATAATATTCAAGAAAATTTGATTAAAAGTATATTAAAGAAAGTTTTGAAACAAAAATTATATATTTTGAATAGTATTGTATTGAAATTAACATATTATTAAAAAAAAGTAAAATTTTAGTAGGTTGATGGTTGTTTTATCTTATTAAAAAGTTTATTTTTTTTATAAAAAAAATTAATAAATTAATAATAAAAATATTAGAATATTGAAAAAAAATTTATTATTATTAATAATTTATTAAAATATATTTCAAATATATATTTTTCGATATATTTATTATTATACCTAAAACAATTACAATAATATAACAAGTGATTTGTTTTTTAATATCTAATATACTTTAAATTAATTGTTTTAAAATGTTGACTATTGATTTTAACACAATATATAAGAAGATATAGAAAGTATTTATAATATTTAATAGTTGTCCCAATATAATATTTATTATTTATTAACAATATATTATTTAAATCTTCAATATTATTAAAAAATATTTTGAAAATTTTTGTATTAAACTATCTATAAAAAAACAATTAGTATAATATTAAAGAAATTATTTATAAGATCTGTTTTAATTTATTAATCAATTAAAAAATTTTTTATCAAAATATTTATAAATATTTTTACTATGATAAGTTATTATTTTTTTTAGTTTTAAAAAATAATTTATTTAATTTGAACTTTAGGACTCTTTTTACTAATTCTTTTATTAATAAAAAAAACAAACATTCTTAAAATATTTTATATCTTTTTAATAATAAAGTTTATATATTGTGGGAATGTAACAATGAGTTATTCATTCAGAATAATAAGATTTTGCATAATAACAAATAAAATAAATAATGCTTAAAATATAGAAAATATGTTTTTATTTGATCAAATAATTTAATATTATAATAAGTTTTGTTTTTTTATTAACACTTATTTCTTTTCTTTTATATATATCTTTTTATTTATAAAGGCTAGTATAACTATATTTTAAGAACATTAATTAAATCAAGTTTATATTTTACAAGTTTCTTTTTTACAATTTCTTCTTTCTTTTTTCTAAATTAAATAATTGTACATCACCAATAAAGAACAGACTCTTTGCAGTACTCTTTGCAATAATTAGTTATATAATATGCATTGCATTTTAACTTATCTCCTTATAATACTTTTTTTAATAATATTGATTTCTGAACCAGTAGAATGAGCAGTAACTATACTTGTTCTTTTTCTTTTTTTTCAAATCATTTTTCTTATTATTTTGTAATTAAATAAAAGAAATATAAGTCAAAAAATTTATGTCAAGAGTTTTTTCTAGAAAAAAAACTGATAAAAAAGTACTTTAAAGATTCTTAAAAATTTTGAGAATTAAATAAAGATAATTTTTTTTTTGATTTTTTCATTATTTTTTCAACCTTTTATTTTTTTTAAGTATATTTACTCTTTTCTAGTTTTTTAAAAAATTTTACTTATTTTAATTCAATTATAAATTTTTAATTATATTTGATTTTTTTGAAAAATTATTGGTCAAGTCACAAATTAATTAATAATATTAGTTGCAGAAAAGTAAACAAGAATATATTCTTTCATATGTTTCTAATTGCTTAATACAAAACTGATAATATAATTAATTTCTAAAAGAAATAAGCAATCTTTAATTAAAAAAAATAATATAAAGGTACTTAATAAAGTGAAATTTATAAGTATAAAAGAAATAACATCTTTTTTTTTATATTCTTTTTAGAAAATTGGATATAACAATATAATTCAAGTCTTATTTTAATCTGACAAGTTAAAACAATAATATTTATCTTAAAAATAGCTAGAAAAAATTTTAAAATCCATATACTAGTTAAATAAAGTAATAATTTTAAAAAATATAGCTTGAAAAAAATCAATAATAAAGTTTTCTTTTTTTATATTAGAAGTTTTCAAATATAAAGTTCTAAAAAATACTCTTATAAAAATATTCTCAAACATTTTTAAATATTGTTTACTTTAATAAAAATCAAATGGTTTAACTTATATATATTGTTAAAATAATAATATAAATATTTGATTTAATATTAAAACTTAAAAATAATTGATATATGATACAATTATTTTTGAGATTTTGAAAATTGGATCCATAACAAATAATTTATACCATATATATGGGTAATTTCTTTTGAAGGTGGACAGGGATTTTTCTAACTTTATAATTGTACTTCTAGAATTTATATTGTATATGTATCGTTCAAAAATAAGGATCAAAAAATCGTATATAACATTTTTGTCATTTTCAAAAAGAATCAGTCATATAGTTTGATTATTTACAAGTTTTAAGAAGTGAACAATTATAAAAGATTTGAATTATGTTTATTGAGATATCTTTTTTAATAAAAATTAAAATAGATAATATTTTTTTTTACTTTTTTTCAATTTTTTCTTTATGCACACTTGTGTTATTTTTTCTTTAAGTAATTTCTAAATAAGTGAAGTGATATACTGTAATTGAGTTTATGATTATAACTGTGAATTGATTTTAATCCTTTTTATTAGTGAACAATGTTATTACTTCTATAAATTGTATCTAGAAGCCTTGGCTATTGGTAAGTAAGCTGAGTTGAAAAGATATATATTCATATATCTTATACTTGTAATAGTTTATTATAAATAAGTAAATAAATGACTCCAATCTAATTTCAAGTCAAAAAAATTATTGATTTGAAATAATATTATTTTATAATATTTTTAAATGTAAAAATATATTTAAATTTTCTAAAATAAAAATTATTTCAATAATAAATTTATCAATTTTTTCTGCAGACATTGATTTAATAAATATTGTATAATACTAGTTCTTATAACATTTTTATTTTTTTACTTTAATAATGATAATTATATGTAATAATTGCAATATTTAACTAAAAAATCTATTTTATTAGTAAAAGCAAATACATATAAAGTTCTATTGTTAAAATAATTAAAATGAATTTATTATAAAATTTATATGAAATTTGTGGATTTTTAAATTTTTTCTAATACTAAAAAAAATATATTGATTTTTTTTTGTAATATCATAGATTGATTATTTAGGATTTTTTTGAAAAAAAGAATAATAACTTTACTTTCTACACCAATAAAATTTTTAATTAAAAAAAACAATCATTGATTATACCAAACAAATTTGAAAATTTTAGAAAATAGAATTTTACTTCTCACAAATTATTTTAACAAAATTCCTTTTAACTTGAAAGTTAATTATAGTGGATGGTTAATTTTTAAAGTATTATAATCATTAATTATTAATCAACCTATGAAAACTATGCTTTATTTATTGTATTTTACTTTCAACTAAAGATCACAAATGTAAATTTTATATTCAAAGTCAAATAATAACTAAATTAACAATTTTATTAATAACAATATTTTAGATATTTTATGCAAATTTTATTTAAAGTGTTATAATTAGAAATTTTTGACTTTCAATCTGAATTCTAAGTTCGGATAAGTCAAGAAAGAAGATAAATTTGATTCAAAATTATACAGTACAAAATTTAATAAATTATACTTTACTTTATTTATTAATATCAATAATTTTTATTATGATATTACGATATTTAGTTGATGTTTATTGCATTCGATATACTGTATTGTGTTCAACATTTATTGTTTTCGATATTTGTTTAGTCGCGATTGATCCGAATTACGTACAACATCTATTCGTTCTAAAATTATCCTAATCAACCGACCAAATTAGTCAATTTTCGCATCTGTTTCACAATGCCGTGATCCACAGTAAGTACAAAGTTTTTATTTTTGTGCTACTACTGTAGAATCTTAAATCCAACTTTATTTAATTATAAATGAAAAAAAATAGTTTTTTTATACCGGGCATTAATCTCCGCGGTAAATGTAAGATAGCTTCGAATGGAGTATATCAACAGTATGTTTGTTTTTCTATTTATC